CCCCCCAAGAAAAGCACAAGCGTCTAGAGGGAAGCATTATTCTTCAAAATACTCTTTCAAATGGAATCTTTTTACATCAGTATGGTGAGTTGAACACATTTAAAAATTATTGTGAAAAAAGCACTCTTCTCTATGTAACACTGTCGTCGGCCTTACTCTTTGTTCACTTAGCTAATTATTATAACGATAAATCGTGACTATTACTAGCTATGAAAGAGGAAATAGCTTCATGCAGAATAGACGTTTCAGTGGGTTAATGTTTTGCTCCACACTTTTGGCAAAGAATCATATCTAATGTAGTATATTTTTCAAGTACACGTCATCATTACGCAGAAATGGAACACTTTTAGGTTTACCATTTCCTCAAGGAAACGAGTTGCACAACTGTCCGTGGAAAATGATTCTGTTTGTTGGGTTATACCTAACCTTTGTCAAAAAACATCTGCTCTTTTCTTATAACGTGAGAATAACGAATTTTTAAAAGATTGGCAATGTTTCAGTATACTTAAGAAAATGATTTCCGCAAACTATAGGCCAATTACAAAGACTTTTATTGTAATGTTAATTAATAATAATACAAAACAAATTACAAACGTAGAATTGGCTGACAGTATTTTTGTTATACATCACATGAGTGTAGAAAATGGTAGAGATTCAAATGTATGATGTTATTTCCTATATAATTACTCGTGCCAAAGGTAAATTACTGAAAAGACATTTTGTTCAATATAGTGAGAACTTTCATGCAGAAGCTGTAACGATAATACATAATGTTCTCCTTTCTAAAAACAGTGACTGGGCGTACTAAAGAAAACCTTTCTCTTTATAATAGTCTCATGAGCATTACGTCTTCAAACATTCCTGGATAATAATAAGAAACGACGCACAATACAAGTGAAACTTCTCAGACCCAATGCCTATAATTTTTTTACACTCAGATCTTGTTCATGAGTTCAGGAGTGGTAAAACTACACACCGGATGAGCTTATTTATGGCATGGGTTGAAAAACAAGTTTGATACTCTGAACGAAATATTGTAAAGTAAAATAGTACAAAGATTTTTTTTCCATGACTGTTATTACTATTACCGTTATTATTGTAGTAATGTTTAATTATCATTGTTTTCTGTTATTACCAAGAGAACAACCAATCTTCTTCTAGTATTTGGTTCTTTGTGAATAATATGGCGTAATAGGAGCTCCAACAAAGACACCGATTCATAGAAAGAACAAATTTACTCGAAGCAATAAGTACAAATCACCCACCTTGCAAATTATGGCAATGTATTAATAAGTTAGTGGAACAAGCGAAAAAGCTCAATTTACTTTCTTCAGGTTACCCGTACTACAGTGTTAGTGCTGGGAGATTATGAGCAAATGACATTTCATGGACGCTTCGAGTTGAGGTATATTTACGGGTGTATTCGAAAACTGCAAGCGAATGGATTTTTCTTCTTTACGTCAGAATGCATTTGCTATTCAGTAATATCACTATTCACTGCTTTATTCACGGAACAAAGGCACCGATGTAGAGCGATACAATGATGTCACATTTCAATTTGCAAGGCTTCGAATTTCGGAAATGGTAAAGGGAGCATCAGCTCCTAGAGGCATGTTTTACAACCACGGTTGGCTCCACTTATCAATCCGTCTTGCTACCATCAAGTAACATTGTTTCAGTATTTCTCTTTTTTTAGACATAATATTATGCTCTAATATCATGTCAGGTAGAGAAAAATGGGATGGAAATCCACTGTCTGTAAAAAATCACGTGGCATTCGACACTTTGAATAGCAGCTGTAAATAATGGCAGATCGTGAATATTGAAAAGTAGAGTCGAATGGGCACAGCTCCTGGTACCAATAGAAAAGGCCGCGTTATGGGCTAGGCTCCCCTCTGCTGCTCGCAGATGACATCAGGTTAGTTCCCATGTAGAGATGTTATAAAACTGAATACATTGTACCTCTGTGTGTCAGCTGGGATGTTGTATAAGCAAAACAAATATTTTATGGCTTCTTAACCCGTGTCGGCCTCGACAGACAGCTTTGAAACAGTTCGCCACTTGTGTTTTTGTGTGTATGTGAGTGTATGTGTGTGTGTGTGTGTGTGTGTGTGTGTGTGTGTGTGTGTGTGTGTGTGTGTGTTTGTGTGTGTGTGTGTGTGTGTGATTTCGTGTGTGTGTGAATTCGTGTGAGTGAGTGTGTGTGTGTGTGTGTGTGTGTGTGTGTGTGTGTGTGTGTGTAGGTGTGAGTTTGTTTGTATGTTTGTCTGTGTGAGTGTTTATGTTGGTGTGTGTGTTTGTTTTAGTAGAAAAGTGGTATGAGAGAGAGAAAATGAGAGTAGCACAAGGAGAGAGAGAGAGAGAGAGAGAGAGAGACAGAGAGAGAGAGACAGAGAGAGAGTGTGACAGACAGACAGACAGACAGACAGACAGACAGACAGACAGACAGACAGACAGACAGACAGACAGACAGACAGACAGACAGACAGACAGACAGACAGACAGACAGGCAGACAGACAGGCAGACAGACAGAGAAATGTTATAGCAAAATGTTTTTCAGTGGTGTTCTGTGTGGCAATTTTACAGAATACCGATTCTTCTGTTTTCAGCAATTCTTATTAAAGTTGTTGTTATTATTTTTTTCCCCTTCTCTCTTTTGTTTTCTTCGTTCTTTCTGCGAATCTGAACAAAAAACGTATTGCTTCTCCTCTTATGTCCCAAATAATAGTATATCCATGCAAACGGGCAACGCTCAATTTGATAAGTATCCACATTCAGAAGTTACACGCATCTGCCTTGAGCACACACACTTTCACAACCACCCGGTGGGGGTGGACGGTGCTACTGACTGAAGTGTCTTTAGGCCATTCCCAAAGGTGGGACATTACCATTTTTCTATGCTCAGTAGAACTGTAAATGGGCTGATTCATCAATGTCATGCTCATAACTGGGCCTGAACTGCAAAAGGGGATCCTGCTGCTTTTTCTTTGCTAATCCTCATTATTGTCATTTTCCTTTACGTCTTTCGTATGTATGTCACTCTCTTGTGAACTGCTATTTCCGGGGTAACCTAAGAGTCGAAGAAGACTTTGTGCTGTTGAGGCTAGAGAGCTGAGCAGAATAAGCCTGATTCCCCTTTTAGACTTCGCTGTTGACATCCACCCCTAAGCGCTCATATGACCTTTTGCAGTTGCGTGCTACGTAAAACCTTACTAAAACTAAACAAACACTTTCACAAGGTTTCTTGCAACTAGACACAGATAACTTAAAAGAGGAAGACATAAAAAGAGAAGAAAAATAAGAAAGACAGACATGATGACAGAAAAAAGGAGATGATAAAAAGACACCGATCAAAGTCCAGTTGACAACTCACAAGCCCTCACTACCATAATTCACACTTTGGACAAACTAACTTTTCGATAGTGCTCCTGATTGTTGTTTTCACTGTCACAAAGTGTAAATCAATCACCTGAAGCGATGTATACACCCCCCCCCCT